CTTCATTTGGTGACCTGTCCAGCGATGCCGCCATCGCCGGGAACCCGAAGGTGGCCGCCCACGGCAAGGTTGTGATGGGTGGGCTGGATAAAGCCGTGAAGCACATTGATGACATCGTCGGCGCCTTCAAGAGCCTGAGTACGATGCACTCTGAGAAGCTCCATGTGGACCCTGCCAACTTCCATGTATGTTGCCCCCTGTGACGCTCCCTGCACCCTTCATGAGCGCTCAGTCTACACTGATCGGTGTTCCTAATGTAATCGTTATAATGTTCTTCTTCCTTTAGAACTTCGCCAACGTCATCTCTGTGGTTGTGGGTTCCAAGTGTGGCTCCGCATACACCCCTGAGGTCCAGGCGGCCTTTGAGAAGTTCCTGGAAGTGGTCGTCCATGCCCTGAGCAAACAGTACCACTGAGAGTCCCTACAGTCGTGCAGCAGTCATACAAGTGCTTTTGAAATGACTGTTGTATCTGTGTCGACATATCAAATAAAACTAAACTGAGCCTAAAAGCCTTTCTCTGTGTGTGATTTAAACAAAATGTGTTTATTATCTTTAACTGTTACTTTCAAACATCTTACATATAAACAAATATGCAGGGCGGTTTAGCATTTATACACAGTGCCAGTCAGATTCTTAGTCTCTCAGTTTAGTTTGATAATCCAGATGACAGCACATTCAACCATCATTATTTGATATGAACGTATCCTATGTATGTTTGTCAGCCTTGGATGAAAAGCTAAAGTATCTTATAACTTAGTAAGCCCTGTTAATAAAACCCTTAAACATAGGTGCATCAAACATCATTTATCTTTATCATTTTGTGTTACTTCAGACTTTGACTTCACACATTTTAAAGGCAAATATTGTTTTTTTTTTTTACTCAATTACATTTATTTTATAATTTAGTAACTTTTCAAAACCAGATTAGTACAAAACCTACAGTAGAACCGTAATGCTTTATTAATCTCCAGTGGAAAATTCTCTTCCTACCCAGCACCCAGCAGTAATTCACATAAGATTAGAAGATACAGATAAAACTATCCCCACCCCACCCCACTACCAGCTGCAACATTAAATGTGATGTACACAATAATGCATCAGTAATCCAATAATATGGTGTACATTAATGTTAAATGTGCAATTTTAGCAAAAAATAACAGTATTTCAAGTATGTTGTGATACAAATACTTTTGTAATTTTACTTAAGTAACCTTCTGAATGCAGGACATTGACTTTAAAGAGTCTTTTTACACTATGGTGCTGCTATTTATGGGTAAGGGATCTGAGTTCTTCCACCACTGCTAAGTTGGGGTCCATATTATTATGACCAGTGGTGGAAAGTAACTAAGTAGATTTACTCAAGTACTGTTTTTAAGTACAGTTATGAGCTATCTGTACTTCACTATTTTCAATTTCTGTTACTTAATATTTTGACTTCACACATTTTAGAGGCAAATATTGTACTTTTTACTCCATTACATTTATTTTATAATTTAGTTATTTTTCAAAATCATAGTATAATCATAAGACTCCATTGATCTCTCGTAGAAAATTCATAAGATACCAAATTATAGACATATAAGCTTTAGCAGAAACTCTATACCTCCACTTTTACCGAGGGCAACATAAATGTGATGTACGCAACAATGCAATAGTAATTATAATCCAATAATATGATAAACATTAATGTTAAAAGTGCCATTCTGCATAATTAGGACTTTACCGTTTAGTACTTTAAGTATGTTTTGATGCTTTTCAAAATGTTACTTATACGTAACACTGTGGTATTTCTACGTTTACTGAAGTAAAGCATCTCGGTACTTCTACCACTGATTATGACCTTTTTATTCGAGGTTAGAAAAACGTTTGTAGTTATTCTGGTGTTGATGTTGGTATGAATGGGCGCGGTTGTTTCAAATTAGTGATAAGAGGGCAAAACCTTATGTGTGCAAGCGATTAAAAATTATTTTAAACAATTTATTTGACCGTTTGTAGCCTATAGCATGTAGCATTCATTGTAGCTTGAAAGTAACAACTGTCTTTTTTTTAGTTCTAAACGAATAAAGCGCGCCGAGTCATCTGAGGATAAGAAGTTAACTATCACGGATCGAAAATGCTGCGTGAAGACAACTTTCTTCATAGGCCCCCAAAGTGGACCTAATGATAATTTATTTGGGTGGGGTGAGCCTGAATGCTCCGATAATGAAAGCTTAGCATAATCTAATTTAACAGCTTTTTGGAAGTAACTTGTAGTTACAGCAGGGCCACGGAAATGACATTGGCTAAAATTTTGAAAACCATTTTAAATGTCAGGCCTTTTCTGGGCTTTGCTGGTGTTTTACATTAGCCTCAGTGTGTGAGTAACACTGGTGCTGTCGGCTTTAAGTCCATCATCACTGTCATCATTATCCTTTAATGTGGTAGGTCCTCATGTCTAACCCCCTGCTGTGTCATTGAACGGTCAGACAGAACAGCTGAATGCTTCTCAGTTTGGTGACCAAATCAGCTGTATAGGCCACTGATTACACTGAAGTTATGGTTAGGTGGACAGACAAAGAGCGCAGCACGATCAGGGCTCTTTGGGAACAAATAAATATCGATGAGATTGGACCAGAAGCCTTGAGAAGGTAGGATGTGTTCGAGATCAGAGCGCTATCGTCTTTTCACGTTTAGTTTATCAGATGGTACAACTGTGGATTTTGTTGCCAGTGGCAGGTTGTTTTGTCTTTATTCTTCTCTTTCTACAATATTTTTCGTTTGAAAATTCCTAAATATCTTGGTTACTGAGACACTGGTTGGATTAAAGCGATACAGTAGCTTAATGCCTAAATATTTAGTGGCTCTGTTTGTCAGCTGTTAAGTTCCTTTGACCAGAGAGGTCATTTCAGCACCAGGCCTTGTCCACAGTAGGCTCACATGGCATGAACAGTCTAAGTTAAAAAAAAAAAAAAGAAAAAAGGTTTGTTACTCTTTGTCTGCTTTATGGGTCGATTTCGTTCAGGCTATTGCAAATGTACTATCCAAAAATAGCCATGCCTTTCTCATCAGCAGAGTTTTGATCGTGTATCCTTGGACCGAGCGGTATTTCGGTACATTTGGTGATATCTTCACCGTCACTGCTATTTTGCAAAACAGCAAGGTAGCAGCTCATGGTAAGGTGGTGCTAAAGGCAGTGGGCCAAGCAGTGGAGAACATGGACAACATTAAAGACACATACGCTACTTTGAGCCGGTTGCATTATGAAAAACTCCACGTGGATCCGGATAACTTCAGAGTATGCGAAATAAATTCAAAGCCATATTTCAGCAATACCACCACATTCAGCCTACAGTGATGATATGTCTGTTTTGTCCACAGTTGTTGGCCGACTGCATCACCATAGCGGTGGCCTGTAAACTCAGGAGTGCGCTGGACCCTCAGGCCCAAGCTGTCTGGCAGAAGTTTCTGTCTGCTGTGGTCGATGCTATGAGCAGTCAGTACTACTAAAGAGAAAAATATACAATTTGCTAGTTAAACCATGTGTGTCTTTCTCCTTGTTCTGCATGTCATGCAACACATCACCGAAGCATTTAAATATATCTTAATAAACAGAGCAATTGCTTCAATCACATGCTATTCATATGTAGTGCAGTGGTGAGAAATGTTTTTGCACAGCTTGATATTGGTATATTTCAGGATTAAACTAGAGTTTAGGGCACTTGAAATGGTCTTCTCTTTATTTTTATAGGCCTACCCCTCTTAGAAGATTGTCACAAATAAACCTTACAAGCTTCAATCGTTTTTAAAAACTCCCCATTCATGTAAATAAATGCTACAAATAAACAAAATGCTTGACTTTTTTTTTTTTTGCTAAAAGGAAAAAGAGATAACTAGAGTGCATCATCTTTTATGAAGTGTACAGTCTGTCTAACACACCGACTGATGTAACTGTCATTCTGTTTAAGCAATGCATCTTTTTCCACTTAGCATCAAGGAAGACTAGTAACTGTTACAGTAAAAGGTAGGATACTAAAGACTGGTTGAAAATTTTCCCTGTGAAACGGATAAAGGGGTGAGGAAAACAGTCCCAAAGGAAACGGATCAGTCTCAGGAGGCGCCCTCTGGTGGTACGGCCAGGTATTGGAGCACTTCGGGCAGCAACCCGTGGCTCTGAAAGTTCACTTACTGAGCCAAAATCCAAATCACTGCGGGGGTTTGGCTGGGTTAGTGCCAGGTGTGGAGTCATATTAGAATCAGAATCAGCTTTATTGGCCAGGTGTGTTGGACACAGGAGGAGTCTGACTTCGATACAGTGGCTCTCAGTGTGTTTGTACAATGTTCTTCTGTAAGGCAATGAATAAATAGATAAGACCGAGAACAAGAAAACAACAGGAATGTGTAAACAAGAAAAGGGAATGAGCATTAGGAAAATAAAAAATAAAGTTCTTATGAAATGCATATGTATATACACACAGTTTAGATGGCGTTTTCAGATTGTTATATACGCACATGGTACACGAGTGGGAGGACAGGGGCAAATTCAGAAAAGGTTTATTGAGATGAAGCAGTGCAAAGCGAGGTGTTGGTATTGCCATTACGCACCACTGTCCACTGTGTTTACCTTCATTAAATCACACGTCTGTAAATGACTCAAGGCGGCTGGATACACAGTAACCACACACCAGGCTGCAGGAAGTCAGTATGAAATTCTACTCTTAGACAGTAAAGATTAGTGCAATTAAACGAGATAGATGAAAGAACCACACCGAGCTGTGCCACAGTTTTTATCAGCAAAGCCACTGCTCTGTAAAATTATCTTGCTCCTTCTGAGAGGATCCACCCTGTGAAGCCTTCACTCGTTCAGATAAACCGATTAGAAAAACACGTGGCCCTACTGGCAGCGATCTCAGTGACGTCATATTCTTGGTATCAGCTGATAACCAAATCATTGAATATGAATTAAATACAGAGCCTAGATTTTAAATCACTATATAAGCTTGACAGATATGACTTTTCACGCGCCCACGTGGTTTTGATGTCTTTTTATACTTTTTAATGTTCTGAAGCAAAACAAAGCATCCCAAACAAGTCAAACAGCTACGCAGAGTAAAAGAGTTTGATCTATTTAAGAAAATCGTATAGTTGAAAGTTATTCACAGAAATGTGTCATTTCAGGGTCGTATTAACTCCAGAGCCTGTGCCAAAAGCTCACGGCGTTGGCTCAAGCCTGAAACCAAACAATCCTTTCAAACTCTTAACAGCTGCAGCTCTTCTCTCGGCCCGTTTCAATGTTTTGGTTCCTCGGCTTCCCTATCTAAATGTGCGTTCCCCCTTAATCAGAACCTAACCCTATCCAGTCCTAACCACCGAAGGGGATGCTACAGGAAACACAAAAGGGAAAACAAGATAGGACAGGTGTCTGTCAAAGTGTTACATAGGGTAACAAGCTCACACGCAGCCACGTATGCATACATATAGGCCTACACATATGCAAGCTGCAACATATCATTTGGAATCTGTCCAAAGGCTGCACAGCCTACACTGTAACAAATTGCTGTTAAAAACGGCCAAATTCCAACAGTAACATACTGTTTTCCATTAAAACGGTACTATACTGTTGACAACAATGACTTCTGGGAAATATTTATGGGCAGCCCACCCTTTCCCATAAAATACCGCAATATACTGTAAATAGCGTTGCATTCTAGGAGTGATGTTAGAATCAACGGCAGAAAGGTGGCGCAAATGCGGAAAGTTACTGTATTTCTCAAGTTGCACGCAGAGCAGACTTCGAGCCAGTTTTCATTTGGAGGATTTCCGATTTGATTCCTACATTTTTGAAGCCTATCCCAGGGTAAGGTGAATTACATTCGCTCTGTCTGCTGATGTTTTCTTACTAACATCATATTAGCTAGCTACCACATAAACTGCAGATCGGTAACATTAGCTAACAGCTAAGCTAGCTTGACGCACACACTATGCTGTGGCCAGCAAGTAACTCGCAGGACATTTACTTTTTCTTTATTGTTTGGTAGGTACGCCTGATTAATGTTACTGAATATTTAAAATACGTTAGTCTTATGGTTTCTTTGGTCAGCTAGAAGTATTATTGTGCTTCTATTTTGGGGATTTTGGAATTTCTCTTCTCTCTTTTCTGTGAATTTGTACGTTAACACAGTTCTGGTCTGCTTTAAGTAGACCTGTCTATGAGAGGGAAATTGTCCAGTGGTTTACTTTGGCTTAGTTGTAAATAGAAAAGAAAAAAAGTTATAATGTCCTTGCAAGTGTGTGTATGTGTGTGTGCGCGCAGCCTAGAATATAATAGTTACATTGCTCTTCTGTCAAAGCCTTTTTGTCAGCATTGCTAATGAGTTGTTATAAGACACACTGAACTAAAACGTTGGTGTTTTTGAGTTTGCAGCTTTTTGTTAGTGGAGGATTTGCCATCAAAATGTTCCCATGCCAGTTCTGTGCTAGTGAATGTACCAATGTATGTGCATATGTTAGGCACACAGATTCATATGGATGTACCAGATTCAAGGCGATAGTTAAGGCCTTCTGGGCTAAAATGTCCGGCCAGGCAGATGCCATTGGCGCTGATGCTCTGTCCAGGTAAATATGACCAGAGTAATCTCCTTCTAAAATACATGCTACTTTATAATATTGCCCATATATGTTCTACGTCCTGCTCACTTACCCACGTTTTATGACCTAGGATGCTGGTGGTGTACCCGCAGACCAAGACTTACTTCTCCCACTGGAAGGACCTGAGCCCCGGCTCTGCCCAGGTGAAGAAGCACGGGAAAACCATCATGACGGGAATCGCTACCGCTGTGGCCAAAATCGACGACCTGACTGCAGGTCTCCTGTCCCTCAGCGAGCTGCATGCCTTCACCCTCAGAGTGGACCCTGCCAACTTCAAGGTGCAGAGCAAAAGCCTGACATTTGTGTGAATTTCATGACTTTAGTCTCTGTTTGTCATTTTTGAGTCTCTCATAAGCTTCCCTATAGTATTGATCATGTCACATAAAGCCATGGATAACTTTACCTTCCTCATCAAAGAAGCTTAAACACACTCACGAGAGCATGGAAGTCTCACAGCAGTGTCACATCAGCCAGATGTTCATGCACGTAGCACTTAAAGGGCGCGCCAGCACAGGAGGACATATTTATATCCAGTAGCGATATTCATGCAGCTGCAGGGAAGAAAAAAGAGAAACAGGAAGCTGAACATCAGCGACTCACAGAGGCCTGCATATTGGACTGGGCGCAAATAATTGTACTTCCATCTTCTATCCATCTTCTACACCGCTCAGCCCCGTTGTATTTACTCATCTTTATTCAGTCATTTATTTGATTGATTGATATTTTAAGCAAAGTTTGGTAAAGGGCTGGCGATTAAATGTCATCCCCTTTTCACAGATTCTCTCTCACAACCTCCTTGTGGCTGTCGCCATCCTTTTCCCGGACGACTTCACCCCTGAGGTCCACGTGGCTGCGGACAAGTTCCTGGCTGCCGTGGCTCGTGCACTGTCTCAGAAATACCGGTAAACGGCAACGAGGCACAAGAGCAGAAGACGCATCGCAGCATGGGCTTGGATACTCTGTCAGTCGGATTATATGAATAAAAAAATCTAATGCAGTCAAACTGTCATGGTTGAATGTGTGAAATTAAAAGGGTTCAAGTCGGGTCAACAATCAAAGCGTGGAATTAATGGCATGGGCTCAATTCAGGGAGATTTCAGTACATGCTGTTGACATAATTAAATAGCAACAGGTTTTTCTTTCAATATTTAGTTACTTATGAAGCAGAGTTACATATCTGTTTTTATGTATTTACTTTTTATTAATACTTTACTAATAATTATAATCAATTCCCAGGATTAATTTAATACAGAAGGAATCACACACATAAAACTGAATAACAAGAGCAGTTTAATGATTATATCTTTATTACAACAAATAGCCTATATTATATATTTTGTAGGCCTACTGCTCAGGGATATTTGAATACTTTAGTCAAAATGGCAAAATTAGCCTATTAGCATTATGTATTTAAGTATCCAAAGTAAAAGTAGATTACACATATGCACAATGGCCACTATGATGTCCCATATGTCCCCCATTTGATGTCAATATGATCATTATTTAATTTTACTGCTGCACACAACTTGCAATGTTTTGCATTTACAATTAAGCTTGTGCATACAATTTTTGTAATTTGCTTAATATTTTAGCCTATCATCTGCTACATTACATGTTATAATGCACTAAATGTTAAATAACATAATTACATTGCATCACACTGTAGCTAATGAGCATTAATGCACTTCTAGCTGAATGCTATTTTAACATGATATCTGAACTTTGAAAATAAGTCTTCAACAGAGAGCATTACGTACATAACCCTAT